ACTCAAGGGGGGGGGGGGAGTTCATGGCGTAAGTTGCACCATAAAACTTTTTGAGGGAGGCAAATTTCGACGGGGCTATGAATTTTCGGATTGAAAAATTTCAAAACAGAGAAATAGTTTGAAAACATGGGAGAGACCACAGCAAGTGTAATTGTATATAATCTGCAATTTGTCTAATCCTACTTTCCATTTCATTGTTATTAAGAAGAGGAGAGAAATACAATTTTTGAAGAGGGGGGCGATGGGCACCCCTGTTTGTTTGTTCTTCAACAACCTCCTCCCTTTACTTGTAAATAATTATCCAGAACGCTTTATATCTGTATTTATATATTTTAAAAAAAAAAACCTGTACCACTAACAACCCATGAAGGGTTATGAATTAAGTACAATCTGAGGAAGTACTATTACAAAGCCAAGTTTTCCTCAAAATTAATTATACAATTAAGAGTACCCACTTTATAGAGGCTGGGTTTGCCCCAGGAGGGCCTCCCAGCACCAGGGTCAACTCATGGTTGATGAAAAATTACTTGTAATTAGCTGGACTGGAACCCAGGACCTTGAGCTCTGGAAGTTAGTGCTCACCCACTTTTATATTTATATAAAACGGTTGTTAATTTAGAAGAAGAACTAAGAAACTACCTATATGAAATGTTGTTTAAGTGATTCTCGAAGTCTTATTAAATGTAATTACACGAACAACAATACATTTAGATATAATTTTTTTTCATAAGACATGGTTATACTTTACCATTTTGGGGGGGAGGGCTTCAGCCTGAAAGCCCCCCTATCATGGATCCACTTATGTTAGGTGTTAATTTGAAAAAAAGAAGTCTCCATTTAAGATCAAGCCCTCATCAGATTCCATCACCTGTCAACATCATGCCATTCTCAATATTTCAATTTATATTCTGATTACGAGATCTTGTACCCACCCCTCAAATTTTAGCAACACTTGTAAATAAATGTTCCTTTACACTGTAAATATTCTTCTTCTTCTTAATCTTGTCCTCTGCAGTGTGAGGTGTTCCTGCTTGTAGAGCCCGATCTTGTTCCAGTCCCTTCAACTCCTGTTTAACGCATCCTGGACTGCTCCTTCCCAAGTCTTTTTGGGTCTTTCCCTCTCAACTCTCGTTTCGTAAGTAGTTTTGGCCTTTATTTCAGCCTGCATCCCTTTAAGATGAGCCCACTGCAGCTGATTCGCTTCAATTATATGCACGACCAGTTTAATCTCCAAGTTACTTCAAATTGTCATATTTCTTCCCATCTTCCTTTGGTACCTTATTAGCTTGTATTTAGCTCCTATGTCTTGAACTCAGAGACCAGGACACACTGGTGTAGGTCAGTAGGGGTATCAATGTTGTCTTAGATACTACTTTTTTAATCTTTTTAGGAACTTATTTCTTTATCTGAAAATCAGAATTGGGTGAATGAAAACATTTTCTGGCCAATTTTATTCTCTTATTTCTCCGTTCATCCAGCCTTTTTAATGAGATGAGTCCCAAGTATCTGAAGTCTCTGGCTTGTTCTAACTTCTCTCCTTTTAGTCGAAGTTTCGGTCTCCACGTTATTCATCCCTTCCTATTCTCATTACTTTTGTTTTGCTGGTGTTGATCTCCATGTTTAACAATTACAAGGCACCCGGGACTGATGTACAAACTCCATAAATTGTTATCACCTACATACTTCCTCATTATCCGTTCCTACCTTAATGATAGATACTTCAACGTAAATCACAAAAATGCCTATTCATCTCCTTTTTCCTCAGTTCGCTGGTGTTCCTCAAGGTAGTATCCTAGGTCCTATCCTTTACACAGTTTATACAGCTGACATTCCAACCCAATCCAACACTGTCATCACCACCTATTCCGATGACACGTGTATCCTATCAGTTAACATCGATCCATCAATTGCATCCCAAACTCTCCAATCACACATCACAAGTCTTGAAGAATGGTGTCAAAACTGGAAGATTAAAATAAACTCCAATAAATCCCATCAAATCACCTTCAACCTGCGTCGCGAACCTATGACCTCCTGTCCTACAGTATCCTTCAACAATACCCCACTTATTCCTCTTGAACAAATCCGTTACCTAGGACTCCACCTGGACAAACAACTTACATGGAATCCTCATACAAGACTGAAACGACAAGAAACCGCTCAACGTTTCCGACTACTCCAACACTTACTAGACAAACGCTCTAACCTTTCAATCAATTACAAACGACTCATATATATGACAATAATAAGACCTATTTGGACTTACGGAATTGAGCTTTGGAGCTCCACTAAACCATCGAATTCCTCTTGTATCCAATCCTTACAATCCAAAATCCATTGTAAAATCCTCAAAGCTCCTTTGTCACAAATAAAATCATCCATAAAGACCTTAACGTACCATATGTTTTCCATTTGGCCCAATCCAGATACCTATCCTTCCATAACTCCAGAACCATCCGAACCCTCTCGTTTCAAACCTTGCTTCCTCCTCGATCCCTGATAACCCTCCGAGGCGTCTGAAAAAAAGATGGCCTCGGGACCTCCTAATATATAACTTTAATTTGAGTTCTACCAGTGGGTAGTTTCTCTTCAAGTTGTACATGTCATGTTACCATTGTCACATTTACTTGTATTTTTAATGTAATAGAGTTGTAAATTTCATTAAAATAAAATATAAAAAAATTACAAGCTCAAAATGTTCTGATTTCACTAAAGGATAATTCATAGTTCTTAGCAATGAAATGTCACTTAATGACTTTTTTCAATACCCCTACTATTTTATTGTTACCATTAAATACATTTGATTTTAAGTCAATATATTAATAGTAATTTCCATAAAACTTTTAAATAATTATTTATTACCAAATTACATTGTTATGAGGAAGTATAGAAATGAAATATTTCCATAATATATTTTATTCCCTCTATAAAGTAACCTTAATATTTGAATGATACATTAAGTTTATTTTATTTGTTGATATTAAAACGTTTCTTATTTCAAATTGGTTATTTTCTTGTTTCCTAATTGTTTAATATCTAAGACTAGGGAGGTATCTCCTGTCCGCACAACACAGCAGTGGCTCAACCCCCATTCTACAAATTATACGTCTTCAACTTTACATTTAATTGTGCTACTTGTTACTCAAATTGTATAACTGCAATTTACATTTATTCTGTAGTTCAGATTATTATTTTTTATCAACATAAAATAAAAGGAACAAAACCACAGTTCAAAGAAATTTTTATTTTCTTTAAAAATATATATTATACACATTGCGTCTTATTGTCAATTTATATTATTATATAATTATAATTATTCTTATTGAAAATTCGTAACCATAAGGAAGAAATAATTCTAGGAATAAGAAGTGTGGTGTCTTCGTTACGGGTCATCCCGTTTTGTATATGTAAAATTAAATATAACACATTCACTAATAAAATATAACACCATGTTAAAGTAACAAATCTTAATCTGCCTAATGTTGCACATTCGTTACTTTAACATGATGCCGACAAAATATTGTATAAAAATTAACTTATGAAAAAAAAAGGAATATTAAAACAGTTAAATAATGTCAAATACTGCCTAAAAAAAAGGAGAGGAGAGTTTGGGAACGGACCCTCCGCCCTCCACACACACATTCTCCTGCTCTAGCCAAGAGAGACAACAAAATATTGTATCGTTCAGAGCTTTTCAAAGTCCTAAATCTTTATATATTAATTTAAAATATTGCTCAATATATCCTTTACACATGAAATTATATTGACTCTCTTTCAATAATATTGAAATAGCTTCATTAAAAAAAAATCTGGTGCGCGCAACACACAACTTTCACTTACCGATCTACTTTGAATAGAAAATATTTTCTGGCAATGCTGGGCTATTATAAAATTTTCCGAAGTACATTTTAAACGGAGCTAAAGCTTGAAGCTTACAGATAACAAGTCATTAAGACCTATTACAAAATGTCTATTTAATATATCGACGACAGGCAATAAAAATCTAGTCACTTCATCTGCTTTTATAAACCACACAACTTTCTTTGCTTTTATAAACCACAGAATGACTAACTCCAATTTCAACAATTTTGGAAAATTGTGATATTTGGAAAATCATTTTAGTGATATTTTCATATTTTTTTTTTCCAGCTTCTTATCGTTGAAGTATGTTATATAGATAAATTTAAAGGGTATTGAGAAAATGACTTTAGGGAAGTTTCATTGAAATCGGTACATTCTATAGCAACGCAGGTTTTTCTGCATTTTTATTTTTTTTTCTCCTTTATTAACTTATCAAATTCTTTCAAAAGTTATATTTAGCATTTTTTTCGTAACTCTGAATAATGTGAAGTGATTAACTTTTTCAAATAAACCATATTAAAGGTACTTTAGAGGAAGACGTATATGAACATTGGGCATTTAAGCCCTGTAAAGTGACATCAATGGGGATAAGACCTAATTGATATTAAAGACCACTTAATTATACAATGATACACCGAGTTTAATCAAAATCGTTAGAGCCGTTTTTGAGAACATGTGTTTCAGCGTTGATATAAAGTGGCACTTCTGGTTAGCCGATTTTAAGGAAAAAGTGGCCGTCACATCTAAGGCATATACCTATCTTAAATACGTAATATTAGTTTGGTAGGACTTTTTGTTTTTGAGCTAGACTGCTAACATACAAACACACAGACACACAGACCTTTTTTCGGGACTTGGTCATTTCGACTCAGAGTACCTCAAAACGTGTAAATTAGTTGAAAACTCAGATTCAAAAATTTTCTCGATCGCAATACTTACACTTACTATATATTACATATATACGTAAGTGAAAGTAAAAATATTTACAGCAATATAATTGATATTAGTGTGGCCCTTACATGATCAATATATTGACGAAAATAGATATTGACCAGGTAAGAAGCCCTAACAGTACTATTTTAAAAAGTACAAGGAAAATAAATGGGAAAGGAAATAAGAATAAAATTAACAAGTCAGTATTGAATTTAAATTAAAAATTTAATTAAGAAATACCAATAAAATGGTAATTTTAAAAATATAAAATATGTATAATTAACATGTCAATAATACATTCATTAATAAAAAAAAAAAAGGAATAATAATCACAAAATTATTCTATATTATATAAATATAACTACTTGCGATAACAAATATATTTTTTTAGTCGTAATTTATAAAATATTTTCTGTCGTACAGCTGACTGAATAATATAGAAAAACAGAGAAACATTATTTAACTGCTAATAAAACAAAAGAAAATGACTGAATAGTGGTTCAAAATCAAAAATAATTTCTCTGATCCTGAAATTTATTTTCGAAAACTGTAACTTTTTTTTAACTATCACTCACTTAAGGTAAGTTGATACTAAACAGGTCTTACGGTATCTTTTGTGAGAACAATTCTGAAACTAAGGCCAAAACGCCGGAAAAAATAAAAATAAAATTATTAATTTTACTTTGTTCTTTGTTTGACTAAACACTCCAAGCAACTTCTCACAGAATAAACCATGTTGAAGAAGGGGAGAGAGGGGGGAAATTGAGAATCTAATTGAAAACAACATAAATAAATGAGTGAAAGACATCAGATAGAATAGATAAAGGATGATCTACTTACAAAAATAAGAATTGGTACCATTGTAGAAAAAATAAGGAGTTCATGAAAAATATCTATAGTCACATGTAATAAATTGCTAAGTCAAAAAATGATCCTCCTGAATTACGATCTCAGCGAATAGAACACAATACACACCACATAACAAAGAACTATTTTTTCAACTTACCAACTTATTCCATGTGTCCATAGATATAAGAATTAAGAGTTATTATTTTGGAGCTTGCAGATAATTATGATCAGCTTTAAGCTAAACATGAGGGATTAGAGTCAAATTTCTTAAAAGTAAAAAAGATAATAAACATATGATTACAAATTGTTAAATTTTGTGGCCGAGATATATATCAAAGATTATTCATAATAGTCATGTAATTAAAATATCCTGAAACCACTTGTCATTTCCTACTTATTAATTAAATCCATTAGCAGTTATTCGTTCTTAATATGTTGCGCGTTTTAATCAGTTACCTCTATAATAATAGTTGTATATAATATTTATTATAAATTTTAAATGCTGACTATATATATTGCAATTTATTTACATCATTATTAAGTGGGCGATTTGCACTTAGGCAAGGCACGGATTTTAATGTTCGTAACATTAATAAGGCATATATTTTTCTTATTTACATTATATACAATAAATATATATAAAAATAAGTCTATATTGAAATATTTACGACTACGTTGCCTAATAGATTTTTCTCGTTACCAGAACTATTTACAATTTTACAATGACATAATATTAAAACTTATGTAATGGAGGTATATGAAGTTTACTTTGTTTTCTTATCATGTCCAAAGAAAAATAATGTAATGAAATATTGTACGTTTTAAATATATCTTTGGTTAACTTCATAACTTATATAAATAATTTATAATGAACAAATGAAACATTATAGTCTAATTATTAGATAATACTTATGAATGAAATAATAAACGAAAAGATCTAAAACAATGATCTCACAACTTCCTTCTAATTTTAAATAAACATAATTAGAAGTGAATGTTAAAAATCCAATACCTTCAGTTAAAAGGTAAATTTATATTAGCGATGGCACTAAAAACATGTACTCGAGATGAAACTAAACAAATCGAAAGAATACATGTAATATTTACATTTTCTAATCGCAGAAAGTATATTCTACATTTCAATATACAATAAAAATGAAGAATGACTTCAAAACTCTTCTCAAATTTGTACCTGCTTCTTATCTGTAAAAATAACAAACAAACATTATAGATAAAATGAAAACAAAACTAAAACTGAAGTTAATTTTTATATTTTAAATATAGTATTTGGTAAGTAGTTGATGGGGGGTGAGTGAGAGGGGAGGGTGTGATCAAATACAATACACAGTATTTGTTACCAGGCTTCCGACTAACAGTCTCACAACTGCTTCCAGCAGTGCCAGATACACCGTATTTGACAGCACCACCGGGCAACTTCTTCTCAAATTGTAATCACGGTCAACCATCTCCGAACCATTTTAAACATATTTCATTAAAATACTATTCTTTTTCTAATTAATAAACAGTCAACTAAAAATGTTTATCTTGCTTAAAAAAAGTAAACAATTATTTAACAGTTTTTATAGTGTAACATTAGTACTTTTCTACCATACTATTTAATCAAATTATTAGGTTTAGGTACTTGTTCGATGCACAATTTAACGTTCTTTGATTTTTTAAAGAATACATTTTCTGCTTTGATGCACCATTTAGGATTTATAGATAAAAAACAAAAAAAAAAATAAAGAAAATAAGGCAGACCCTAGACGTTAGTCATGAATGACAATCAAAAGACTGACAAGGATTGCTTTAATCATGATGACCATTACACATATCAATCAGACCGGATTTTAGCTCAGTTGACATTGAGATAACAGGCAGTGTGTATATGGTGCATTGTTCATTTATAATGGGTATCATTAAAAAAGCTTATTTGGCCATTATCCTTTATAGCATTGGACATCAAGTGAAAAAAGGAGATATAATAACCACTTCCTAGTGCCTGAAAATCATTTTGACAAAAGTTAGAAAAATATAAGTCTACTACTTACAAAAAATAATAAATATGTTGGGAAAAATGAAAAAAACAAAAAAAAAAACTGACAAATATATATAACAGTTAAAGATTAATTTTTTCAAAAAGTAAATTGTGAAATTTCCACTTTTTTTTTTTATTTATAGCCCATTTGACTATTTTAAAAAAAAAATTAGTTAATAATATTTTATAAAAATCAGGAATTTATAATGGTTGTGAAAACCTAGGTAAATTAACCTATCTAGTAGTTAGGTTAATCTCCCCACCACTTTTAACTTGGTCTCCTCCCCACTTCCATGATAGAATCTTTGATTTCTGGATTTTCAGAAATCCACGAGTCACGTCAATCAGTAACTTACACGATCAATCAGAATGTTAATAGTGCCTCGTAATGCCTCTCCAAATGACCATTTAGGATCTGCTTAAGACATTTTTCGCTGTAAAAAGTTTCCCTTGGTTGCTCGTGTTAGGAATTTTAGTTATTATAAATTTGAAACCATATATACAATTAAAAAAAACATATTTTTCCCGTTTCAATCCTATATGTCCTCAAGTTACTGGCCTATTATTCTTTAATCAGCCACTATTTATGAAAGTAGCGGCTCTGGAATGGCAGAAAAGGTTCATTTTACTTAGAAAAACATATGCTTCCGTAATTTACATTAAAACATTCATCTGCACTCTGGTCGATTTTTGGACCCTTTTTAAAAGTTTTAAAAGTCAACGGATCAAGGAGGGATGAATCTTGTTTTAAAGAATTTGATTTGGAAATTATTACCTTCAATTGGAATTGAAGCAGGCCCTGTGTCTCAAAGTCCAAAAATGTATAGTTTTCGAGATGAATCGTAATTCTAGCTGAAAGCATCATAGATGTTATAGTTGTCATCGAATACTTATCGCATATTTAGGATTTAAAAATTAAAATATTGCTATTGATGATAGTCTTCGACAAAAGTAAAAATAAATTTATGATCTCCCTTGAGCACTTTAGATAATACGAGGTTGGTCTGAAAAGTTACTGTCCGCAACGTGAAGATGGCAGCACTCGTAAATAAAAGGAAGTGAATTTTATTGTTCATCAGTTGACAGTTATCCACCGAAGTTTCAGCCATTTTGGACGTGCAGTTTTTATGTAACAGTCGTTTGAGTGAGTTGATGTGAGTGTTTCTGTGAAAATAGACAAAATCGAGTATTGAGCTGTCATTAAATATTTGAAAGACAATACGCCTACGCAAATCAAAGATGATGTGTATGGGGACTCCGCACCATCATTTACCACACTGAAATTTTGGGCAGCTGAATTTAAACGTGGCGGTAAGAGCTTGGTAGATGATGAGCGTACAAAACCTGCAAATACCGACAAAAACATTGCCAAAGTTCACCACCAAATGGTGCTAGATGACCGCCAAATTAAAGTGAGAGAGATATCAGTGATATGATGAATATGTAAAAAGAACATGTTTGTTACATATTAAATCAACATTTAGATATGAGAAAGCTGTCCGCACGTTGGGTGCTGCGTTTGCTCATAAACTAAAAATGTGTTAGAATGAACATTTCCAACGCTCCGTTGGCGCAATAAATCCAAGTTTTGGCGCCGCTGTAGATGAAACTTGGATACACCATTATATGCTTGAAACAAAAATACAGTCCAAACAGTGGACTGCAAAGGAGGGGGGAACCAACTCCAAAAAAAGCAAAAACTGTATTCGCGGCTGGGAAAGTGATGGTGACTGTTTTTTGGGATAGTCATGGAGTTATTTTAATCGATTATCTTCAAAAAGGAAAAACCATTACAGGAGCATACTACCCATTATTACTTGACAAGTTGAAGGCAGAACTTGAGGAAAAACGGACAAATTTGTAGAAAAAGAAAATCCTGTTTCACCAAGACAACACACCGTCTCACACCTCAGCTTTTGCCATGGCGAAAATCCATGAATTACAGTTTCTTGAATAGCGGAGTCAGGTTCCAAAACCGAACCTTGATTGACCCAAAGCTGTGTGGAGCTCTTCGAACTTCTGGTGACCTGCCTATCATTGAAAATCTTTGGTTCAGTTTTAGATGCTGATTCAGCTACGCTGCGCTTTCGGTAACCGGTCGGCCTTATGAAATATAAACCATTGTGTACTAAATTGCAGTGTTTTTTTTCTTAGTAGGCCATACATCAAATAAAAAAAATTGTTATTTTAACAGTCCTGTTAAAATATCAAGTTTCACCAATTTTGTGTGTTGAATAGGCTATCTTGATGTTGTATATAAGAATAATCATGTTTCGCTTATGTAGCTTGTACTTGTAGCTAATGAGAGTTCTCACTAATTATACCAGTTTTATTATAAATTGGTCAATAACTTAATTAAAATATATATCAGTGCTTTAACTATACCTGTCTTAACTTCACAGAGAGGTTTCCGTTACAGGAGGCAAACTAGACTCTGACGGGGGGGTCCCAGAAGGAGCTGTCGATGACGGAGGGGATTCGCCGTCGAGGAAGTAGAGGAGTGAGTCTGTCAGCGGCGGCTCCCCGCCTGACGATGATGGGTCGAAATCTCCTGGCTGGCTGGAAAAGCTCAAGTCTGCCGGGCTCGTCGTCAGGACTGACCTCGAGAACAGGTAGTCTCGGAACGGCGACGTCAGCGACTCTTCGCTCCCCTCGCATCCTTCCATCTCCTGCAGAATGACATATGTGCTGCAGGAATTGAATATATATATTTTTGCAATTTGACAGTAAAAATGTTAATGCTTGACAAAGCATATAACTGAATAATGGACTCCTTATTAATCCAATCCTCATAGTAAAAGGGATTTGACATTTTTTTTTTAAACCACTTTGGATTTGGATGGTAAAGACAAATTGAAACATTAACAAAAACTAAAAATAAAGTATAAATATTTCTTTTATATATAAATAAATCTTTAAAAAAATTATTTGTAGGATTAATCATTTCTTTAAAAAAAAAATAAAAATAAAAATCTACAACCTTCCCATTGAAATAATATGGGACATTAGCATTTTACATATCTCTAGCTTGAAAAAAACTGGTACAACTTAAACATTTGCATCATTATAACCAAATATAAAAGGCATGGTTATTTAATGAGACTAATAGTGTGATTTTATTTTGATTTCCAACATATTTACTTATTATCACCTTCAATATACCTTCTTGATTTGTTTATTCCATTTCTGAAGAATTAAATAAAAGAATTCTGAACATTTAAAGAATTGATTCATTCAAAAAATCCTTTATCATACATGCTACCTTGTTATGGAATTCCCTACCTATCACCATAAAAAAACCCCTCATTCTTGACCTCATTTAAACACCATTTATTATTCCATCTTCTCTGCAATCAATCTTCCTGTATAGAGCTGTCAGCCTCATTTCATTGTTATCTAACAGCTACAGTATATAAACAATATTAATTTTTATTGTTTATTAGTACAAATATGTAAACACATACATACATACGTATTTATCAAAAAATATGTTAATCCGAACCGCTGCTTTCGACAGATCGTTCACGCCTGTTCAATAATATCTTATCATCCAGTCTCCATGAAATTGCAAATAGATACTACTGTAAATATGTACATAAATTATTAGTTTGTTCTTCATTATTTTCACACCCAATCCGCTGGTGTTCCTCAAGGTAGTATCCTAGGTCCTATTCTTTATACAGCTGACACCCCAACCTATCCCAACACTGTCGTCACCACATATGGTGATGACACATGTATCCTATCAGTAAACAATGACCCATCAATTGCATCCCAAATGCTTCAATCACACATCATAAATCTTGAAGAATGGTACCAAAATTGGAGAATTAAAATAAATTCCAATAAATCCCACCAAATTATGTTTACCCTTCGTCGTAAATCTATGACTTCCTGTCCTACAATTTCCTTTAACAATACTCTACATCCCTGTTGAGCAAATCCGCTACCAAGGACTCCACCTGGACCAAACATCTAACTTGGAATCTTCATACCAGACTGAAACAACAAGAAACCGCTCGACATTTCCGTTTACTTCAGCACTTACTAGACAAACGCTCTAAACTTCCAATTACAAAAGACTCATATACATGACTATAATAATGCTTATTTGGACTTATGGAGTTGAGCTATGGGGCTCCACTAAACAATTTAATTCCTTTTGTATCTAATCCTTACAATCCAAAATCCTTCGTAAAATCCTCAACGCTCCTTACTTTGTTACAAATAAAACCATCCATAATGACCTTAATGTTTTAGATCTGACCCAATCCAGATACCTATCCTTCCATAATAACTTCAGAATGATCCCAACCCTCTCATTTCTAACCTTGCTTTCTCTTCAATTCCTGATAACTCTCTGAGGATTCTGAAAAGAATATGGCCCCGTGATCTCCTAATGTAGACATATCATTAGAATGCTACCATTGGGTAGTTTCTCAACAAGTGTTTTTACGTCATCAAATCCATATGTTCAAATTTACAAAATGTATTTCTTTAATACAGTTGTAAATATCATTAAGAAATAATATTTTAAAAAAATTATTTTCACTCCATATTTTTTTGTATTATTAACTGATTAAAATTAGAAATTAACTTATAATTGTTTTTTACTATGACTGTTTAATTACTATATATTTTTGTCTATGAATCTCTGAGGCTCCTCAGTCCACATTTCTGTCTTCGTGTATTATTCTAAAGGGACTCGTCCAAGAATAAATAAAGTATTATTATATCCACACAATGCTCCATAAAAATCTTCAATTGTCTGAAATAGTGCTGGCACTGTCTTCTTCTGTCAGCTCCTTCACGATGCATACCGTTTTCTGTTTCATGGCTTTAACAGACCCAAAACTTGCTTGATTTGCTTCAAATTGACGAATCGTGGTTTTTTACTAATGATACTGAATGAAACAAAGCATCAATCCATGCACTGGAAGAGTCCAAATTCAGCCAGAAAAGCTCGAAAGACCAAATATTCAATTTCAAAACAATGGTGATTGTTCTTTTCGGTATTTGTGGGATTGCATACTTTAACTTCATTCTTGAAAGTTAAAATATTATTTCATTCACATTCTTGCTGAAAGAGAATGTGAAAGAGGCACACGTCATGACAGAAGACTTCCTGGACTGTCTCAGGCAGTGAAAGATTTGTAAGGAGCATAGGGATAGACGTGCTATATTGTAGGTTATATTAAGTAAATATATACATAAAATCCAACTAAAATGTTTCCCATCACCAGTCTCGTTATTGAATAACCACGGCTTGTATATGTGTATACAATAAATATAAACACATTAACATATATATCGCTACTGTTAGTGCAAAAGGTCATGGGTAAATTCAGTTTTTTTACAGATGTTCTTTAAAGGTACTATTTCGCTGGCACGGTCCACAACAGCGACTGCTATTCCACGCTGCCAACAGCTGTTGGCGTAGCTATTTCGCTGAAACTGCTCACTGGGGTTGTTATAACCTTCGAACATTTCGCTGTACCTTTGAAGATAAAAAGATGGACATCCTATAATAATGAACATCTATGACTACTGCTTTTTTATTTGAGGAGGAAAAAGAAGAGAAAATGTTGTTCATAAAGAGAAGGAATATCAGTATTTCGATGAGATGCTCAACATCAAATCCCTTCTTGGACATTGTTTGCTGTTGTCTGGATGAACAACCAAAAAAGAACAAAAAGGCAGAACATGCCGAACTAACAACAATAGTCCCTCTGATATTAGATATTATTAGTTTGAAAAGTAATAGTAATTAATACATAATTGATTAGAAATAAATATCATATATTTGTAATTAAATGACAGCAGGCGATGTTTTATAATTTTATCAATAGTAATCAGTAAATCACCACTTTAATTAAAAAATACAAATCGATTTTTCAATGGCTGGATTTTAGTATTTACCTGACGATAAAATTTGTTGGATTCTTTAATTTATTTAATATCGTTTGGATTTAGGTATATTTGTATTTCGCTGTAAAATATTGCTGGTGGAATAAATAAATAAATAAATAATCATGTTACTTCAACCTTAAAAAAGTAATTTACTATGGTATTTTTTCAGTTTTAAACAATATTTGTTATAATTTTGCCAGACTTGAAAGAAACATAGGAAATAAAACGTATCGACGTGACAGCTCCACTGCTTCAAGAGGAGTCACATACGAGCAGCTTAGATATGATACCTAGTCATACCTAGACTGCCGAGCAGCGCCAGCGAAATAGGTTCCTTTCTATTCCACTAAAGCAGTGGTCAACCGTGAGCAGTCGCAGTCATGGACCGCGCAAGCGAAATAGTACCTTAAGATTTAGTAGTACAATTTCATATTTTATCTCCCTCGGCTATTTTCCTATTTAGCAGACTACTTATAGCAGGTGCACAATACAAAATGTAACCTGTAGCGCAAAGAGAATAAACATATAAAAAAGGTACATACGACCTTTTGCACTAACAATAGCGATACATATGCACATATATAGGAAAAGAGAAATAAATTCTAAATACCATCTTCTGATTCTGTTCCTGCCAGGATAGATCCTCCTTCGCATTCCACCCGTTTCCCCCCAACTGACAGAGATTGGAACCAGAGAGCGCAACTACCGGCTTCCTGCTCCGGGGAGTTATCATCGCCTCCTAGGAAATATAAAAAAAATCAAATTAATATTAAGAAGTAAAAAAACAATAGTATAAGGAAAAATATAAAGAAATACTTTTTCTAACTACAATAAAGCTTGCACTAACTAAAATTTTAAAAATAGTAACAAATGTTTTGAAAGAGAAGTAAAACATGTATAAAATAAAAGATGAATGAAGGCAGAGTTGAAAAATAGGATCAAGTATCATTCAATTTATTTCTAAAACTTTTAAGGAACTACAGGAAAACACATATACGTAATGATTTTATGAACAAACAGCTGGTCTGATTTTTAAGTTTAATATTTCAAATTATTCAGTGAAATCCTTTGTGTTTTGAAACAATTTAAGTTCACAACAATGAAAAATCATTGTAATATAATCTGTTTAATCAACTGCTAACGTAACAATGTTTTGATTTCTAAGCACAATGGCTTCCGGTGGAGAGATTCCATTAGGGTTTTGAAACAATTTGGGCACAAACAACCGACAAATTATTGCATAAAATGTGTTTAATCTATTCGTTAAAACGTATTTAACCATTATCTGAGGGAATGTCTCAAACAAGATCGTCCAAATTATTCAGGGAGGTATCGTGAATGTTTTGAAACAATCTGAGCTCAAAATACTGAAAAAAATATTTTATGGTACCATACTATCTGTAAGTTTGTGATTGTATGTGTTGAATACAAAAAATAAAAATGTTAGGATATAAATAAATTAATTTAATTTAAAAAAAAAAACAACAACTAGAAAATAGTCAATCTTATGGCTTGCATATCAACTAAAACACCTTCATAAATTGTAAGGGAAATTAACGTCTACAAATATTTTAAATTGGTGTAGTTGTCGGATGCCTTCCACTGCACATAAGACTCCTTGCAAGTTTATTTCATCATACGTACTACATATCAATATACAAGAGTGTTGTGTTAGTTTGGAATTCAAGAAATCCTACTTCTACACCAAGTTTTAATATTCCTATACGTCAATTACGTTACAAATTTACAAAGATTTTTTAGATACACGGCCTTTGGTGGATAGTTATTCCTATAGCCGATATTTTTTTAAATTATATTATTATCATTTTCTTAGTTCTAGTTACCTTATATGAGGAGCTGAAGATCAAAATACAATTTGTCCATTTCCATTTTAGCCACAAAATTCATTATACACTGAACAATTATCTTCAAAGCTTTTATAACTCTGTGGCAAGCAAAGTAGCCAGAAACACTTTTAATCAAGATTTCCTGCTATAAATAATTTACAGTTCAGGTTCGAAATAATTGTGGTTAGAAAATGGACAAAATGTATTTAGATATGGAAATCCTCACATATTCTTTTCATATTAAATAGATTATTTCCAAAACCTAATTTATTTTAATTTTGAAATGTCTGTTACAATTGGTATGACTTCTTCTTAATATACATCTATAGGAGAAATATAGATAAATACATTAGGTCACTTAACAGGGTAATTGTAAGGTGGAATTGAAGAAAGCAAATATACAATACATGGCATGCGTAAACTTAAAATTGTATCCTCAAGAGACCTTTTCTATTCGCAACGCTACAATAAGTGAAGATGACAATAACATACAATACAGCAAAAAGAAAGCTCTCGTGACAGTGAAAATAGTGCGTCCAAGCCTTGGCTCCTCCACCTCCATTCGACGTATCCTTACCTGCATCGCTTTGGGCATTCTCTGTGCTGACATAGTGATTGGGGACATGTCGTCATGAACGGGGGTCAGCGGGGAGGGAGTGGTAAAGACCCCAGCGGGGTGGGGTGTGCTCGCCCCCCGAGGGGTAGCTAACTGTGGGCTGCGCCACTCGTCTCCTTTACCTGGCGCAAGTTCCTCTCGCGCCATTTTCGGGGGTGACTCTTCGCTCTCTTCTGATTCTCCATCGGTCGTCGGCATTCTTTTAAATCCACTCACGCTGCTTATCTTTTCATTGTTTTCAAACTTCACCCTTAGATTGTATCTTCTCATGGGTGTTTTCTTCTCCGGCGGGCTCTATAACAAAAAACATCTTTAATTCATGGACAACATAAAAAATTGTTGTTATTTCTGTCTTAAGCAGACCCTTAATGATCAGTCAGAATGACTTTGTTGACGTTGAGATAACACGCAGTGCGGATCTGTCTATTAACAAAGCATTTAATTAAAAAGGCTTATCTGGCCATTATCATTGACCATATACTATTGGACATAAAGAGAAAAGTGGAATTATAATGATTACTTACAAGTAGCCAAAAATCGGTTTGAAAAAAAGTCAGAAAAATATAAGCTCAACTACTTAAACAAATTAATAAAAAATATTGTGTAAACAATAGATATGTAGAAAAAAAGAAGTAAAAAGAACTAACAAATATAAAGAATAGTTAAAAAAAAAAAATTTTTATTATAAGTGTATAGTTTTCCACTTTTCTTTTTTTAAATTTATTCCCTACTTGATTTAAAAAATAAATAAATATTGTGTATATGAACATTGGGCATTTAAGCCCTGTAAAGTGACATCAATGAGGATAAAACCTAATTGATATTAAAGATTACTTCATTATACAATGATACACCGAGTTTAATCAAAATCGTTAGAGCCATTTTTGAGAAAATTGCGAAAATTTGTTTCAGCGTTGATATAAAGTGGCACTTCAGGTTAGCCAATTTTGAGGGAAAAGTTGCTGTCACATCTAAGGCATATACCTATCTTAAATACGTAATATCAGTTTTGTACGACTTATTAACTGATCAGACTGCTAACATACAAACACACAGACCATTTTTCGGGACCTGGTCATTTCGACTCAGGGTACCTCAAAACGTGTATTTCCGTTGAAAACTCAGATTCAAAAATTTAAAAAAATTGAAGATTATTTATAAAAAAAATAAACTAGGGATATGAAAAACTGTTTATTTTAAATAAAGATCAGGAATATACATCGGTTGTGTGGTCTAGGTTAACTAACCTACCTAGTTAGTCTCCCCATCACTTCTCCTGATTGAAGATTTGATTTGCTAAATTTTGGAAATCCGCCAGTCCCATCCATCAGTATATCAATCTTATCCTAACACTATCAATTGGAATGCCATTCTGACTGACCATGTAACATCCGTTTTAAGCACAATATAATGTAATGACAGATATCTGATTATTTATATGAATCTTACATTAAGAACTTCGTCTCCAGAACATCCTCCAGCACGCAGCTGCTGGTATTCAAGATATCCTCTAGCTTTCGCATTTTTGCAGAATATGTGTTTCTGAAACAAAGCGTCATTCTTATAAAAAAATAATTAAATTTCAACAAACAAGAAGGAACAATGTGATCATGATTTAAAAATAATTACTTTGATGCTGTTTCCTATACTTTTCGTTCGTGGTGTCCCCTGTCCGTTTTCTTTGTTAAACTGTTTGATCAGTCTCTTTTTCTTATTCGACTCTGGGAGACTTTGTATATGGGCGTACAACTGAGCGAGGGCAGTTTCTGTTGGATTGACAACATTTTCCTGAGCTGACCTTTCACGATCACAAAATGTAAATACTGTGTTTGCAGCTGTACTTTCACTTATACTTCTTTCGAGCTAAAAAATGAAGGAAAAATTTATATAAATTAGTTAGTTATAAAATATATCGATAGAAAACTGTTTAGTTGAAAATAATTTTTAATTTTGATAATTTATAATGCAATGATAAATAGACAAATATTAGAAAGGAACATACACAAAAATCTTCTTAGCTTATTTCTGCTGTTAACCTTATAACTTATGAAACAGACATTTAAAAAATATTTATATTTTTAATAATTCTAATATTATTATGATAAAATATTATAGAAAATCTTTCTATAATTCTTCACTGTAAGCAATGACAAAAAAGTTATAAATTTTTACATTTAAAGTATATTATGAAAAGTAGAAAAAATCACTTAATTAAAAATAATTATTGGGAGTACTATCAAAAACAACAATAAACTTCAAAAGCCGATTATAGAATAAGTTTGTAGGAAACTATACAAGGATTGACCTGTAGTTATACAATAAAAGGGAACGCAGTGGTCGAGCGGGCTAGTGCACAACATCGTGCATTGCCTGGCAAACGGAAAACCACAGTTATAGACGATAAAATTATTGGGAGTTTGTGTCGCGATGCCAGAGAGCCGTTTAAAAGGCAGGGATGAATAGAACAAACATTTTTTTAAAAAAAAGTTATACAATAAATAAGAGGGAGCAGGGCGGCTAAGGAAACTAATGTGTTATGAACCAAAGATTACACTCACAGAATACGAAGTTCAACTCCTGGTGGCAGTAGGACTTTTAACTCAGACACTTGTGGGAGGTAGCCGAATGGGCTAACATGTGTGCACAGCACCACCATTGCCCGGCAACATGATATAGTCTGTGGGCCAGACCCCCATATCGCGCACCTCTTCCTCTAACATACCTATAAATTGCATAATGTTATGTTCCTTGTAACTATTTATTAAAAAAAAGCCAGTGTTCCCACAGAAAAAAAAGTGAACGCACTGCCCCAAAATGGCGTCCAAAGATGGCGGATTGACGACATTGACTTAAGTTAGTTTTTTGGTCACAGAGAATCAGCACTTGGCTTAATTTCCTCATGGTTAGTCTTTTATTAAAGCTGAATAGTCAGAAAATAATAAAACATGAAAAAATAATTAGCTTAGGCAATAAAAAACACCAGTAAAGTAAAAAATTTTCAAGTTGAAAATAAAGCATCGTACTAACTAAAGTCAAAGTCGTCAAACACCATCTTTGGACACCATTTTGGGGCAGTGCGTTCACTTTTTTTTGTGGGAACATTGGCTTTTTTTTTAATAAATAGTTATAAGGAACACAACGATATGCAATTTATAGGGATGTGGGGGGGGAGGGGGGAGAGGGGATGCACAATAGGCGGGTCTAGCCCACCGAGTAATATAAGATAAAGTGATAAAACTATAGTCACGAGTTCGCATTCCGGCGCCGGAGGAGTCTTTTAAATCCTCGCCCTCACCCCCTGGCCCATATAGCCTTAAAGGCAAAGAAGGGGAAGACCCAAAAAAAAAAAACTTAGACAACGATCCCCTGCTCTCTCCTTTGGCCCAGAAAAAAAACTGTTGAGCCGAGGTGGATAGGAAAAAAAAAGTTATCAGAAAGACCACTCAATGCTTTTAAGGTCAATCTGCCTCAGCAGTAAACCATCGACAACCAGCAAAAGAGAGAGAGAGAGTACTCAACTGCTCCAGCAGTACACCTTCCTGACAAAACATTAATACATAAAATGTTAACTACATAAAATTGAATGATAGTTAAGTATACCAGAACTCAAGGTCTCAGGTTCGAATACGGCTTATGGCTAGTAATTTTTGATTAGCCGTGGATCGACCTTGGGGTCAGGAGACCCTCCTGGGGCACACCCAGCCTCTATAAAGTGGATCCTCTTAATTAAAGGCTCGGTCACACAGAACGCGATCCGACGTTACGTTACAATAACGCGCGATACTCACGGCGATATCTAATCCAGGGCAGTCACACAGAGGGCGTTACTTTGAAAGCGATACAGCAGCCCCGTCGTTCTGCCTCGCCTAGTCGACTATAGAGCCTGCTTCCCGCAACTTGTATATTAATAATTTGTTTTCGATATTTTTCTTATTCATTTTTTTTAATAGAAAATAAGTGATTCTGGCGAGGAGGCTCATTAGTTCAGCTCTTCAGCATAAGGTAAAAAAAAAAAGAAAAAGGATTCATGAAATCAAAAAGCACATAGACTGATTGGTAGAATACCATCGCCTCGGCCGTCTGCTTCAATCTTACGAAGATAGATTTTTTCAATATTTCCGAATTTTATTTTTGCTTTCTTTACATTTATGTTCTTTTTTAAACATAGATTATTTTATTATGAAATTATGATTGAATGTTTTGTATATCGCAAGATTATTTCATGTTTTCAGTGATTTTTTAATCTAATTTCATTAAATGTATTTGATTTAATGACTTATTTATTGTATATATATTATTTTTCTGTATAATTTATTTTATTTATTGTATTTATCTCTGAACACTATTATAAATGTCCTTTGAAACAGATTGTAATATTTTTCAATAAATAAGTTAAATAGAATAAAAAATTTAATGAAATTAAATACCAAGCATTTCGGCCAAAATTAAGTTGTTTCTTTTGTACTATTTTGTTATTCTAAAGGGACTTCGTTCCACAATAAAGTTATTTTTCTATTCTATTCAAGAGGATTTAACAATCGTGATTTTATTCATATGCTTTAAATAATCAGGAACTCTAATTTTAAATATATGTTGATTTCTATTGTCTTGATCGTTAAATAATAAATATTTGGGTCTTTTTACATAAGTATCGCCAGTAACTTTTAGTAGAAAAACAGTTATAATCTCATATGTCATAAATGAATAAATTTTTTTTAAACATTAATACTAGAAAAGCAGATAAACACACAACTGGTTAACTTTATGGAAAACAAATATCGAAAATTTAACTTAATTTACACCTCTACATAGTTTTACCATTTTTAGAAAGGTAAAATTTCACATCATGTACTCGGAAAGATTTCATTTTCTGAGTAATATTAGTTTCTCCTGCATCATTTTGATACCCTTTAATTGTGATGAAAGAATGTTACTTAATTTTAAGAAGTGCATTAAAATTTCAAACGCTCAATAAAATAATATGTTCATAATTAGGTTCAGGTTAAAACTTCATTTAGGTTTAACTGAAATTCCTACATTATGAAAGTTTTATAAAAAATATATGGTGTTTATGACTAATGATCCTTAGCAGAACTTTTATTTTATTTTTATTATTATTATTTTTTCATTTTTAAAGTTCATTTATTTATTTTATTATTATTATTTTTTTAAAGTTTATTTATTTTATCTTATTATTAATATTTTTAAGTGTATTTATTTTATATTAATTATTTATTTAGTATTTTTGGTTTATTATTTTCAATAATGAACCATTGTGAGTGACCAAAAAATTCAAAACTTATCACCCTCTTAAAATTTGAGGTTTTACGTATCAGGATAAGTAGATTCGAAAAACGAATTCAATTTTTTTGTCCGTCCGCCGTCCGCCGTACGCCATCCTCCATCCGCTCATTCTCCGAAACTACTGGACCGCTTTTTTTTCAAATTTGGATATAAAATCAGAAGTCGCCCGAGGATGATCTTCCTTCACCGACATTGCCATCCGCCTTTTACTTTCAAGATGGCGGCCGAAAAACCTAGGTTGCTATAGACTATAGCGCCTAAACGAACTAGCGATTTCAATGAAAATTCTTTAAAGTCATTTTCCAGACGCCCTTTAAATTTATCTATACAACATATTTCAACGAAAAGAAGCTGGGAAGAAAGTTACGGGGGATGGTAAAATTAAATTTCGAATAACTCAAAAAATATACACATTTTTGTCGATGTTGTGACAAGATGTTGGAAAGGTATTTAAATTTCCTAAAAAATGAATGAAGTTTCATAGAAATCAAAGCAATATTAGTAGAGATATCGCGATTTTAATATATTCTTGGTTTATTATTTTCAATGATGAACCATTGTGATCGACCAAAAGATACAAAAACTTAAACCCCTTTTAAAATTTGAGGTTTTACGTTTCAGGATACATAGAATACGAAAAACGAATACAAAATTTTTTGTCAGTCCGCCGTCCGCCATTCGCATTATGGCTATAATGATTTTTAAAGGTTTAAGGGATTTCCTAAAAAAAAATAATTCATTAAAACCGGATAATTAGGAGCAAAGATATGGTCTCTAGTTTTTTCTACTGCAAAGGTTATACACATATATATATCTTTTGTTTTGGGTTTTAAATTATTTTTTTAGCATATTACTAATGATTGTAAAAAGTTTAGTCCAATGATTGAAATCACCTTTTTTCTTAATAACTAAGAAGGTAATGTTACTTTAAATGTATAATTGTTTGGAAATTGTGCAATAATTTGAAGCGGTTTTTTTTCAAATTAATTATCGTTGTGTATATGAAAAAAAAATCTTACAGGATGAAGCCCTCCCTCCCAAAATTAAATCTGGGTCCGCTACTGAATATTACTACTATTAGTGCAAAAAGTCGTATGTAAAATTTTTCAAATTGTATCCCATTTGTATTAAAGGTACCATTTTGTAGTCTGCAACTGATATAAGTAGTCTGCTACTATGGATAGTAGCAGATGACAATAAAATATGAAATTATACTAGTAAAGCATAAAGAAATAATGAGTTTTATGCACTCTTGTAAAACAATAAATTTTTACATAAGACCTTTTACACTAACAGTATTGAAATTCATGTTCAGGGTGCATTTTATTTTATTTTTTTTTTATTAAGGATAATCAAATATGGGATCTTCAAATACAGCACTCTTTTGTTGAATGTTGAAGGGTAACTATATTTCCGAATCAGCTTCTCCCAGAGATTTTATTCTCATACAAAAAATGGTATACACTGTAATATACAATGACAACGGTGAGGAAGCTATACTGACCTTACTTGGCAGACGTTTTTTTATTTTGAAACTACAACCTGATTAGTTTAAAAGTAGTGTTATTTAATTGATCGGGCATTGATTGATAACCTGGATGTTCTTTATCCAGAGAGACAAACCACCAAACAACTTCATTTAGGTCAGTAAAATCAAAATAATTTATTAAATCATGTGTATTTCTCAAATCTATAACAGCTTTAAACAAGTAACAAAAAAAATCTGGTGCGGGTAACACATAACTTTCACTTACCCCACTACTTTTAATATAAATAATTTTGTGGCAATGTTGGGTTATTTAGAAAAATTAGAAGTGCATTTTAAACGGAGCTAAAGTTTAAAGCTTAGAGATAACAAATCTTTAAGACCAGTAAAATTACAAAAAGTCTATTTATTATATCGACGGTAGCCAATGAAAATCTAGTTTTATAAACCACATAACTTCAGTCTCTGAGGCCTTTCAGTTGACATAATGAATAACTATAATTTCAAGATTTTTGAGTAATGTCATTTTAGTGATATTTCTAGTTGGAAAAGTTGTATCTATACAGACAGTGAGCAAGTTGATTCCAGAGTAGGTGATTTCAACGTTGAAATATAGAACTGCGAATAAAGGCATAAAGTTCGCCAATAGAAACATCACTAAAATTAATAATGAAGAATGTTGAAATTGAAGTTAGTTTTTCTGACAACCAAAAGGTTCATATATGCCTAGAGAGATTTGAAAGTACATCTAAATATTTAACATATAAATGATTATGGGTTGTAGGACTATAAGTTATTAAACTGTCATTTTCCATTATAAAATTTACTAAAATGAAATTACGAGATTTTCGTTGCCTGCCATGGATAGGTTGAAAATTTTCACACTACTTGGAAGTCGACAATGTTGGTGCTTCACAAAAGGAAAATTCATTTATTCACTCATTTATTCACTCATTTAATTTCCTAAAAGGTTACTTGACGATTTTAAGAAAGGGCCAATAAATACCCAATAATTTAAATATAATATCATATCTAGAGTTATAGAACCACATCAAAAGTATTTATGGTTATAAATATATACATGAAATATTTTTATATTTCACTTCTTTCACACAAGTACAATTAAATAGTATTTTAAACAATGACATTAGCATGATTCGGTGGAATTTAAATACTTTTTTTCAAACTTAGAAAAGTACTTTAAAAGTTTATATTTAGTAAGGGAATTTCGCTTAATTTCATTGGAAACATGTGATTTACGTTAAGTAATGTTGGTTTTCTGAAATTATTATTTCTATTTTTTTTTTTTGTCACTCTGCGTTACCTTCTATTTATTTATTACATTTATTTATTTAATTTTATTTTTCTGAAATTCTTCGCTTTTTAACGATATATTATACGTATACCTTCTGACTGTTATTTCCGGAGATTCATTTTTAACCAGGATAAGCATTTTTCTTTTTTCTTCAGTTTCCAGTTATCATATTCTTTTAAACTTCATATTTAGCCATTTTTTATAGTTACTATCAATATAAGGGAGTTGATTTTTTCAAATAATCCATATTAAAGGTGCTTTAGGGAAAGATGTATATAAACATTGTACATTTAAACTCTGTAAAGTGAGATTAATGGGAAAAAGACCACTTAATTATGCAATGATACACCGAGTTTAATCATAATCGTTAGAGCAGTTTTTGGGAAAACTGTAAATATGTGTGAGATACTTCCGATTACCTGATTTTATATATAAAAACCTTAAATACGCATTTAAGTTTCGTGTGAGTTTTCGTTTTTGAGCTAGGCTGTTCAAATGCACACAGACACCCTTTAGCAGGACTTGGTTGTTTGGGCTTAGGGGACCTCATAACGTGTATTTCCGTTGAAAACTCAGATTCGAAAATTTTAGCGATAGGAATACTTTCCCTTTGTTATATATTACATACATAGGTAAGCGAAAGTCAAAATACCAATATATTTTCTTATAGTTTTGAGGTTAAGCCAATTAATTAACAACTGTTTTGGTAACATTTCAAAATTTAATTTTTCTGTTAATAAATATGAGAGGACAATTGGTTTGATTATTTTTGTTGAGATGACTATTGAAGTGAACCACTAGTCAAAAATTACGAATCACTCCATTCAACACTAAATAAATGAGGACTTGACAATCTACAATCGAAAAACCATCTATTTTTTAATAATATAATAAAAAAATTAAATTAACAATAAGGCCATAACTTTATAGATAAATAAACTATGTTTCAATTTAATTTGTTTTTATTAAGAAATTGTTTGCTTTATATTTATTAGGTTTTCCAACAATTTTTTGCTAGTGTTTGAGTTTTTGCTACACGTTTTTCGAATATTTACTGCCGATTTCTAGCGATGAAGCTTGTTTCTCTTTAACAAAATTGTATTACATTCCAATTCTTAAAAATTGTGCTAATGAACATAAAATTCTAAAAAGATATGTTATTTGGTTATTTCTGTATTTCTTGCTTTGAAATATTCAAAAAATTAAATATATATATATATATATATATATATATATATATATATATATATATATATATATAATTTTTTAGTATATTCCAGAAGAGATTTTAATAATGAACTTTCGTTCTACTTTTTCTTATGTAAAACTTCATATTTATTTCAAATTATTATTTACTTCAAATGGCATATCTATTTAATATTAATTTCGTAGTAACGAATTTCTTTTATTCCCATATATATCTTGGATAGTTATTATCTGTTCCTCAACCGTTTTAAATATGCAATATACACAGATTTTTTTTTTATCATTTATGTCTTTAGTATAGGCAAAATTAAAATTAGTAAAAGAACGTAAGTATAATTTTTAAATGATTTCAAGATAAAAAAGAATATAACATATAATTATTATAATGTTCAATAATTATAATAATAATATCAATTAATACATTACTTGTGATATTTAGCTCTTCCACAATTTTTTTCCATGTAACCTCCTTTTTAATAATTTTTTGTAATATTTGCTTGAGGTGTCATATCAAATAAAAATGGACAATTCCTCACTTTTTATATAAATAATTCGGTGTTAACATATCTATATGAATACTACCACTAAATAATTTCAACTGTAATTTGTATCTATAATATTTTTCAAACATAACGCCGACCCCGGCGATACACTTGTAATATTTTTCAAACGTAACGCCGGCCTCGGCGCTATAGAATGTATCGCTGAGGTGTAACGCCCTCTGTGTGACTGCTATAGTGGAAAAGATAGTAATACAACTGTAGCGCTGTAGCGCCGCGCTAAATAACGCCTTCTGTGTGAACACGCCGTTATAATCCTGCAATAATCCTATTAACTTGGGTATTAGCTAACTTTTCTACCTACATTAGATAGAGAATAACGTCGAAGGAGGGCGATATTTTTGTAATTTGTATCAATGTATCGCCGGCCCCGGCGCTACAGCATGTATCGCTGTGGCGTAACGCTCTCTATGTGACTGTTATAGTGGAATAGATAGTAATACAACTGTGGCGCTATATCGCCGCGATAAATATCGCGTTCTGTGTGACCGAGCCTTAAATAATTACTTAAGAAAGAAAACCAGGCGGTTGAGCGTTAAATCGGCGCTATCACCTCCCTGCACAACCGTTGGCCTTGTAACAGTACTTCCTCACATAGTACTGCACCCAAGATTTCTTCTTCATGGGTTGTTAGTAGTACAGTTTTTATTTATTTTTTTTTAGTTAACTAATATTTGGCCTGGGAAGAGCTGACTTTTATTTTGTGGCGGATCCACGGAATGGAACTCAACCTTCCCACTCTGCTTAAAATAGGTCTGGTTGTACCTCTGGAACGACCCTCCTGCTCTCTCTCCCCCTTTTCCTCCCCGTATACCAGAATGGTGGGTTGGGGGTAAACCAATAAAAAAGAAAAATGTTAAGTAATATTCAAACCCTATTAAAAAGAAACAAGTAGGCCTGTGCGAAAAATTCGTACAGCATATTGTAATCAAATACCAAATTAATAAGAAAACAAAATAATGCAACATATCAAAAGATGAAGAAATCAATGATTACTTTATCGATAAATATAATCTACAAAGAAAACAAAAATTAATTAAAATCTTCATTAATGTTTGGTACCAACATGTTTATAAATTTCAATAAGCTGTATCTTTCCTAAAAATTGTCCGATTTCGATGATTTTTTTCCCCCTTTTTTAGGGAACTCAGTAATCTTTTATATAACCATGGGCATAACCAAGGGAAAAGTCTATAATGTTTTAGTTATTCGCAAATTAAGTTTGTTTTCTTTCATAACTTGTTTGCATGAATTTTCGGGGTGATTAGACTATTTTGCTCGCCTGAAGGAGATGGAAGCCTTAGAAATGAAACATGTATTCAATAACAGTACTACAATTAATGTAAGTTTGTGTGGATGCAAAACCTGTGCCTTGGGTTATCTCGAAAATAGTACGTTTTTGAGCTTAAAATCTTCAATGTCCAATTTGTCTCGTATCGATCTACAGACCTACCACTGTTCCAGTATTGATACCAAGTATTCCTATCAAAATGTTTGTATCAACTTTATTTATTTTAAAAAGAAAAAGAAAAGTGGAGAATACGATTCCCTAACCCCCCGTGAAATTCTGAATCCAACGGTACCCCACTCATGGTATTTGAGCATGACAGGAGCTTATATTTGGTACAAAACCAATTTTGAGCCTTACTGTAATAATATATGAAGGGGATGGAGAGAGAGAAAATTTGAAAAATATCCAATTCTGGCATTTTTACATAATTCAATAATGAAAAAAAATATTTTGAACAAAATATTATTTAACACTTTCACACATTTTTTTTATATGTATTTCCATAACAGACAGACGACATTGCTATGCAAAGAAATTAAAAATTGTTAATAAAAATGATTATCTTACTAAATGATTAGGAGTCAGCCTGCGTCGATCCCAATAAGCCTTTATATCAGTAGCAAGAGTTGGCGGCACATCAAAAATCTCATTCGCTTGGTTGATAATAAATACAACGATGCATGATAAATTCTGTGCTGTCATATGGAAAGCTTCTGGAGACAACTACAGAAGAAAAATCATATAATTTATAATAAATAAAATAAACTGTATAAATACATGAGAAAATATTACTACAATTTTCATCTTACTTTTCTCGGACATAACAGGTGTGGTGTGAACAGTGTTGCCAGATTTTGAGCAGACATTCTGTTATTTTCAGCATTGCTCGCAGTCAAATGAAGTATGTGCACAATACGTTTAAGCACCATCCGGTTCTCAATGGGTAAAAGAAGTAACAACAGCTGCAAAGCTTTTAAAATCCTACATCTTGTTCCTTTTTCATTTTGGCAAAGCTCTATAAAATAATAATAAAAATAGCTATCAAAACTTCAGATTCATGTTTTATTTCAAATATAAGCGGTTGATAACTACATAACTTATAAAAATATAACTTGATTCATGTGGTTTCATAAGATAATTCTGTTCAGTTTTAAATAAAACTATAAAGTATATGCAAATTTAAAAAAAAATGTAAGGAAGCTATAACTGATTTATTTACTTGGCAGACATTTTTTTGCTGCTTCTATTTTTTGTTTCTAAGTCATATTTTTAAAAAATATTCAGTGAACAAAGTTTTTTACGATGGCAGCATAAAAAGTAATTTTAAATAATATCTATTTTTAAAATATACTCCTTCAATGTTATTAAAATTTTGTTTTGTTGAAACTTCTTCAGTAAACACATGTTTTTCTTAAATATCTAATATTTCATAATATTTTCAAATTCACAAGAATAATAATCTTCAAAACAAAGATAGAAAAAATCAAGAGGGGTGTGTCAATCAACAAATAGAGAACTTCCTGGTCTATTTATACAGCTTTCAAGGCTAGAGAAGATCTGTTTATGTAAGCTTTTGATGAAACAACAAAAACAATAAACAGTAATTTTTTTTTTTTAATTTAAGAGTCAAGATAAAACAAGAGATAAGAAAACTTAAAAAAAAAAAAAAATATATGTAGTATAAAGATAAATATACTATGTAAAACTGTGTCAAATATGTAAAACATATTCTGTACAATGAATTAGAAGAAATAATGGATACTTAAATTTTGAAGAAGGGAGACAAATGGATAAAAAAATTAAATGAGATGAGTAAGTAATCAAATTCAAATAAATGCATAATACGATTAGTAACAAATCTAAGAACCATCACAAGATTTAAAAAAGTAAAAATATATTTTGGTTCAATTTTAAGAAATAAATTAATAATGGCCTTTAAGTTTAAAGAAATTGATTTAGTCTTATAAGACAATGATGTTAGTATATTAAATCAATGCATTAACTAACCAGTTGACAATATTTGCTAACAAAATCTAAATTAGTAATTGGCCAATGTCCACTATCAAAACAAAATGGATTCAAAGTTAGTTCGGATCTGTTGTGAATGTCTGCAGCCATAAAGTAGACAGGACTCAAATCTGATTTGCCATGTAAGTAGCAGTACCATGTACCAATGTTTGAAGTGTGCGTGTACCAAAATCTTCCCTATTAATATTTTTTTCTATATCGAACATACTTCCTTCACTTGAAAAGACAATTAATACTCAAAGTCAATTCAGAACTTGACAAATTAATGATGATAAAGCCACTAACAAAATTTATAAATACAAATAGATTACGGTGAATTACACAATATAAATATACTTTGATCATAAGAAGCTGAATATAATCATGATTTAACATCTTTAGATACTAAAACTAGGGTGGCAAAAACACTACAGCTTAGCAACCTTTTCCAGCAAAGCAAGTCCAAAATTTATAACCTTGGTCAATTACAAAATTAATACAGATTAATTAGAATTACTATGATTATTTCAAGGTATAAACTAAATTTAAAAATACCTCTATAATAAACAGATATCAGTTTGTTCACTTATACTATAAACAACTTCATATTTAAAATATGTTAATAAATAAAGTTAATTATTAAATATACTTGAGAAAACTTTTAAGTATTAATATAAGATGTTCAAAAAACTTGCCAGCAATTTGACAGTAAGCAGGGTAGTAAACTTCAGTTAGCAATGGTTCCGGTAGTTCTGCAAGGAAAGCTTTCAAAACAGATGCGACGTCATGTACTGAATATTTGCTATCTTTCAGTTTAGGTAATATTCCTCGCTGAAGGAGGCCTTTCAATTCTTGTTGTCTGGTTAATTTACCACTTCTTCTGAATATACCTTCCTCACAATTGTCTAAAACAAATGTTTTTATAAATAAATAGCCAAAATAATGTAAAAAAAAAAAATCTAGACCATAAAAAAACCAAACAAAAAAAACTCACTCTCTTCTGCTGATAAATAATCGACAAGATAATTGATCTGTTTGACAATATCTGTCTTAAGGGGCACATTATCTACATTATCTTTTTCTGGACCACGAATTTTTTTGGTGAAAGGAGCTAAACCCCATTTTAGAGGACGAAATTTGTTTTTTTCTGGAAGACCTGCAATCCTGAACACGGGAAAATATGTTAAAACATCAAAATAAGAATCATATTTACTTAATTTAATAACAATTACTTACTCTTCCATTGTAAGATCCAGAAAAAATGATAGGTGCATTCTGACCAGGGTTTGAAATTGCTCAGGATCTTCATGTCTCAATTTTTTCGCTAACGCTTTTGATTCTCTTGAACTTAAACTAGTATCACAAGACATTTCAGACTTATAATAACTATTATCTTCGCGATTATTTAAACAAAATACGAAATTGTTTCGTTCTTAGGAACTTCTACCGATGAAAACATAACTTTAATTCTATTCGCATTCTTACGAATCCGCCTAAAGGTATTGTACATCTTAACGTATTTACTATAGAATAGGTAAATAAAAATGTCATATTAGTCAAAATTTATAGTAACAACACACAATTAACACTGAACTGTCCTTAATAACAACCAACCGCCATTTCTCAATTCAAAAAATTGAGTTAACGATCATATCAAGTTGTCACTTGTAATTAACTTCAATATTTTATTTTTATAATAGTTTTAAAAATGATATTTAATAAAACCTATTAAAATTAATTGTTTAAGTTAAAGCGATACTTTACTTTAAATAAAATAAATTGAACCATTTTATTAAAAGTTATTATTTATCAATGTACCAGAGAAAGTAAAAGGCAAATTGCTTAGTACAAGAAGTACTGTTGAACGTAGATTCATTACTCTGGCACAACAGAATGGGGCCAATTAATATTTTCAATCTTAAAAACGTTAAAGACGTAAGTGTAAAAGATTTTCGATAATTTAATTAACACGTGTTGCATGTTCTTTTGAGGTGTCAGTTTATTTACATAGTTTTAGTTGTCCTTTCTTTGTTACTATGCTTTATGGTTGATTAATTGTTCATAGCTGATTAACCAATTGGAAGTAGATTTCACCAGATTGTTTTTTCTATCTACATTTATGCATTTCATTTGTGTTTTATTCAATATTTCATTTTTTTAAGTGAATTATTCTCTAATCTTTTATTTCTCATTTTTCAGATTATGACAATTTTAAGTGCCTATTCTTAGTTTGTAAAGTTAATATCAGTATCACCATAAGTTCACTTGCTTATTTTCTTCAGTTATCTTTTAATTTAAAATATATCAGTCATGACTTCGGGACCAGATCGTTCATTAACTGGAGGGATATCTCTCCCCAAGTGGATGAAAACAAAAATATCAGACAGGTTAGTTTTTATCACTAATTATTTGTCCAATTTCAATGTAACTTTTATTTTTGTTTTTATGAAACTTTTGTTTTTTTAGTTTTATTGTCATTATCGGCTTATCAATGCTTTCAAGCATCGCATTTTTATAATGTTAAAAGTGATTCTCATTATTGTATTGCAGGGCATTCGATTTTGAAGGAAATGCATTTTCTCCTCCAACAAGTGATGATGGCTTCTTTTTAATTAAATATAAGAAAACAATCCAGGAAGAACCAACACCGCCTAAGATAACGGTAACCGCAGCACCTAAATTCACTCCCTTTAAAAGTGTAAGCGACCAAAAGGCACCTGTGGACGTCAGTAAACATACGACTCCTTGTCAAGATTTCATTCCCAATGCAAAAAAAAGTAATTATTTAGTGATTTTTAAGAATATATATATGTATATATATTATATTTAAATGTATTTTATTATATATTTAATTTATTTTTAAAGAAATTTACAGTTTATTCTATAGTATAATTTCAACATTTTTTTTTTCTATCTTCTGAGCTGAGTAACATAATGGTGTTTATTAATAGCTGTTATATCATTAACAGATCTCAGTAAGAGGCAATAAAAGTTCTTTATGATTGTAGTTTAATATTTCCAGATTAATGAAGTTTCATAACTATTCTAATTTAAAATTGTTTATCTAAAATTAATATTTTTAAAGATTATATTAAAGCATTTTATTTCAAATATTTACAAAATAAATCATTGAATAAGTTAATTTATAAATTTATTAAAAATTTGAGCATGTAACAGGTTATTGTTAGTTGTCTATTTATAAACAAACTTTTATAATTTAAAATAGAAGAGGGGGTATTATGCACCGATTGTATGTATATTTTTACTATATTATTTTATGTTAAAGTTTACTACATCAAATTAGTTATTAATATTGAAAAAGAAAGTATCAAAATGGATACCTGCCTTTTTACTTGTCCATATTTCCAGAAGTGTTAATTCTAAAATCAGTTCGATTGTATGATAAAAACAAAAACATCTTGGCCACCCAGACGTTTTATTACTGCAACTAGCCCCCACAGTAAGTTAAATTTAGCACAAAGGTTTTCTATGCTCAAATATAATCCTCCTATCTTCTGAATACGTGTGTTCCTCTAAGAAGTTCTTTGGAGGTATTTACGTGTTTATTTACATATTTTATCATTCTACTTAATAGAAGGTTAGATATTTGTTAATTTGATTGTTAAGCCTTAATTTATATATTTATAAAGTTTATTATTATAAATTATAATTTTTTGATTGGTTATAAGTCAAAGTATTTTTATTTTTACTTTGATTTGTATTTTAATCTAAACATGTCTGATTTATTGATTATTAACATCATCATGAAGATAAATATTTTAAATAAAAAAAGTTCTTAATGCCTACCATCTTTTAGATGAGTGACATTCTGAGTATTTCCTCCTTTTTTTTTTTTTCCTTTTTAATTTGCTTTCTGATCAGGTTTTGAGGCTGCTTGCCCTTGACTGCGTATAGGATAACCCCAAGGCCAGGCTTCCTATTGGTCCATTCCTTTGACTCCTGCCTCATGACAGTCAGTCAGTTGGCATCTTTCCTTCCAGGTTATTGTTGTGTAATGAATTTATGTTTTGATGTTAACAAATGGGGCACTTTTCGCCTTTATTGCAAACCCTTCCTTGGAAATTATTACGTAAGCATCATGAATATTTTAGTATGATTAAGGAGGCATACATTTATATTTTTAATGGATTGTTACCATATTTTATAGATCCTCTCCAGTATATAATGTTTTTCTTCATCATAGGCATTCAGATGTAATTTCACTTTTTAGGTATTTTATTGTAATTGGGTCTGTCTTTTTTTAAATTTTTGCTGCCTTACTTTAAACGTTTTCTTTAAATAAAAAAAAAAAACGAGTTATTAGTATAAATGAATTCAGAATGTTAACCTGCATTCTTTCAGAGAGTTGGAATGTGAAAAAAATCAGATATTGTTAATTTACTTTATTTGTATAACTATCTGGAATGGAAAAATGAAATTTTTCATTTTGAATAAATTTACTCCAATAACTGAATTTAAAAAAAAAAAGAAGTGTTACCTATTTTTTTCTCTTGCTCTTCGATTGTATTGCAACCCATGATATTAATCTTTCGTGTGAATACCTCTAAACATTGTTTCTACCGTTTTATAGATTAATAATGTTTTATATTTTAGTATATTTTTTTCTTATATTTCTTAAGTTTTGGAAATTTTAGATGACAAATAAATATTTATTTATTTTTGCTATAAAATTTATAATATTTAATGTCAGTATTGTTGTTTAAAATAAAATATCCAGATGGGATTCCACTTTTTAGATTTTTTATTGTAAATGTTTTGGGTATGCCTTAATTTATTATTTACTGCCCTACTTAAAAAAAAAAAATAATAGTAATTATTATTTTATAGTTATGACCATTTTTGAATAATGTTGTTTAATGATTTAAGATTTACCTAATTTTTTAAATTAAACTTTCTCTTGTATATTTTTTACAACTTTTCATAGCATTTTTATATCGTTCAAATTTTAGCAAAATATTTATTAACTTAATAAATACACGCTGTTATAATTAGTTATCCATTATGGGTAATAAGAAAAAAAAAGAAACAAATCTTTTTTTCTTATTTTTAAATCTTTTATAAGTAATTAATCGATATAAATGGATTCATAATGAAAAACTGCATTCTTTCAGAAAGTTGAAATGTGAAAAAAAAAAATTATATATTGATTATTTAATTTATTGGTTTCCCTCATAATTATTCGGAGAAATGTGTTTTTGTACCTATTTTTGACTATAACAATTTTAAAAAACAAATATTTTTAATAACAAAATACTTTTGTTACCTGTGACCATCCGTAAAAATTGTTTCTATCATTTTATGGGTTAATAATATTTACTTTGTAGCATATTTTTTTTTTTTTTAATTGCCAAATTTTTAGGGTTTCAGATCATAAATGAATAAGTTGTTTGTTGTTGCTATATAATTCATAATATTTATTTTGATGATTGTTGTTTAAAAGAATTAAATGTCCAGATGGAATAAACACTATTTTTATAATTTCTTTGTTGTAAATGTTTTGGGTTTGCCTTTATTTTATTTTTACTGTTTAACTTTTAAAAAAATCGAATAACAATAATAATAAAGTTACCAAAAAGGAATATAGCTGTAGTTTGATAAGTTCAGCAAAGCTATTGAATACTTTATAGTAGTTTATATCTGCCCTCAAAATAGTGTGTGGAAAATTCCACAGTGGTTAAGATTCATATGGTGGTCATAGAGAGAGAGAGTTTAATATTATCATGTTCCATCCAGGATTTAAGTAAACAATTTTTCTATGATGAAGTATTAGTAATGTTACAGGTTTATTTTTAATTAATTAAAACTTTATTTATATATTTTATCGCTTACTACCATTCTCAGTTATAGATTCATTCAAACATAGAATATTAATACGAATTTCATATGAATTGATATCAATAGAAAATTCTTTCTTGCAAAAATAAACATTGTTTGTTTTAATGCATAGTATGAATTTTTTTTTTTTTTTAATCATGAATTCTGTTCAATTTTATTTTCCTACAGTCATAGTTTTTATTTTATTTAAGGAAGATATGGTCCGGAGAGGCATTAATTTTTTTTTTTTTTTTTTATGACCACCAACCCTTCTCTTTTCTTTAAATTATGCTACGGTCAAAATCATTGAGAATTCAATATTATATTCGTTATAATTTATGTTTGGTTGTTGTATTGTCTTTCTTCAGCCCCGATAGAGGCCTGAAACTTGAGCCAAAATGTCGGCACTAAATAAAATTAAAAGTTGTTAATGTTAGAAATTGCTTGAGGGTTGCAGTCAGAGAGAACACATAAAAATAAAATTACAATATTTTAATTTTGTTAGTGTATTCCGTAACCATATTGTATACATAATTAAGGCTGCAGATCATCTTCACTATCTCATTTATTTCATTAGTTCATACATCGTTTCGGCTAACAAATGAGTGGCTTAATATCAATATGTACATCTGTCGTTTTCGGAAAGTAGATAAAAAGTTAATTTTTGTTTTATATATTTACAAATGCAAACAGTTTCTGATTTTATTTAAGAGCGTTCAAGTTGAATCATGAAAAAAAAAATCATTAAAATTGGAGCTGTGTTACAGAGAATTGGATTTTCTTCAACTTTTAATACTCAAATATAAATTATATTATGTCATACCTGAAAATTTTATGTTTTGTCGAAATATAGAATAAACAAATGATATCAATCCGACGACTGCATCCTTATTTTATTGTGTTATTTTATTTAATAATTTTGTTTTAATACTCTTATTTATTTTTTAAACAAAAATACATTTAAAAAGTTCGATCATTCTGATGATTAATGTTGATACTAATTTATACTGGTAGTAACATTTTATTATTATTTCTTTTTAATACTGAAGTAGTAATATATCTGCTAAAAGCTGTTATCTTCTATTAGTAATACAATATTACTTTCAAAAATTGATATATTTGTTTTTATTTTAATTACCCATGACATATTATATTGCCATATTCAGTTTTTAATTGCTCTAATAAAGCTAGTTGTAAAGAATTAATTTTTCTTTGTCTTGGTGATACTACCAAGTTGAGAAATCAATTTTTTTTTTCAATCTGCAATTTTCAGTCCGTGTTCAGTAATAAACACCAATTGATTATGAAGTCTTGCATTGTGAAAATTTGTTGTAGAATATGGTTTCTATTAAAATTTCTATTCTCGTTTCCATTTAGTAAAGTTAGAACTCTAGCTTTTTTAATTAATATTATACATTTTTTAGTGAATTTTTGAATGCAATTAGAACCAATCAATATTTTTGTAAAATTATGTTTTGAGTAACATCTATCTCAATAATTTGTTCACGAATTTTCATTTCGCCACAAAAATCTAAGGTACATCGTTCCTTTGTTTCAGAATTCAATATAGATGGAACCTTGGATTTTCTTTAAAAAATTAAGCTTTTTGAAAACCTCATATCTTATTTGATAGGTTTAAATTATTATATTTTATTTCATCATTGGTGTTAAAATTCAAGGTTTTTTTTTTTTTTAGAAATTTGTATCTTGGATTCTTTTGATTGTCTATAGAAATCATTGTTCTTGAAATTTAATACATCAATTGAGTTGTATAATATTTATTAATAATAAGTAATTATATTAAACAGAATTTAATTCTTTATTACTTTCTAACAAATTAGATACAATTATATGTATATTTTATCTAGAAATGTTTAGATATCTATTTATATAAGAAGAATGTTTCTGATGAGTGTTTCTATTATCACTAGTGTTTTTTTTC